TTTGTCACCAGGGAATGGAAGAACTATCTAAAAGTGGAAGGGTCTGCCATGTTCACTTTAGGGTACAAGCAGTTCCAGGCCTGATGATATCCTAGGGGATATGTTATGGAGGGCCAATGAAGTCTTTTCCAAGTGTGAAAGTCTCCGATTCTATAAACTGTGGTAGATGAGTGTTACTGACAGTGAGAAATGAATGATGAATGTAAGGAACTAAAACATAGTAAGTTGTATAACTGATGTAGAATCAAGTAAGAGGAACTTGGGACAACAACATACAAAGTGACTGCAAAGATATAAATGAAAAGAACTCTGAGTCAGTCTAAAGACAAATAATAAAGCCTATTTCCTTGATTCCGGCACTGAGGTGAGGAATGTTGCATACACTGTCACAAAAGGTTCGAGGGTCAGTTGATTTTGCATAACTGTTTTTCATTGATATCAGGGAGAGTTCAATGACCAGGGAGGCCAGGCCGTACCTATAAATGACTCAGATATAAAAACAAAGAGCATCAATAAAGGGTTCTTTTTAAATGATTGGGGACAGAGGGAGAGGAGACACAGACAAGCACTGATTAAGCACCTACTAAGTGCTAGGCAGACTGCTAAGCACTTTACAAACACCTCACCTGACGCCATTCTCATCCCTGATTGTGCAGCTGAGCTGGTACTTTCTGAAAATAGGAAGACTAATAAATGCTGGCATCAAATATCTCATTCTATCCTCACAAGAGCCCTGGGAGGTAGATGCTATTATTATCGCCAATTTACAGATGATGATTTGAGGGAGAAAGAGTTAAATGATTTGCCAGGGTCCCACAGCTCTATCTAAACTCGGGTCTTCCTGGCTCCAGGCCCAGCACTCGGTCCACTACGACACACATATCAAAGGTAGGTCTCATCCGCACTAGTTTCTTGTATCAATGAAATCTCAGGTTCAGCCATCTCTAAACCTTCTCCTGATCCCCAATCAATGAGTGATATTTACATGACAACAGTACCTTTCCTTCCAACTTGCCTAACTTATTTCCCAGAAATGAAATCTCTCCTCTCCCCAACATAAGTTTGAAAATGCTCTTGAAAGATTAGCAGTTCATCTAGACTTAGCCTATAGAAGAGAGAAAATCAGGGTGAAGTACAATGATACAGGCTGGTTTACATGACCTCTGAACACACTGGTCAGCGGCTTTTATCTTCATTCACTATATGCACTGTAAAGAAAAATCCTGAAGTTTGCCAACAAAAGCAAAATCTACCTTATTTCATATATACACAAGATAGCTTTGCATTTTTCATCTAGATAAAAAGCATGATGATAATTACACATTTCCTATTTAGTCATCAACAGAGATTAGTATCATAGGAAAAGAAAATTTCTGACTATACACAACTAATTTAGATGGAAACTCTTTGGTGCCCTGGATAAAAATAAAGACTAAAAAATTTAGAATTTAAAATATAACTTTCCTCTTCAGCTAAAATATTTTACAAATATTATTGTGAGAATGCTGAAAACATCCACCCCTCACATAAGATAAACAAGTTCTCCTAGTTACATTTTATAAATGGAAAAGCTGAGGCTGAGAGACATAAGCAAGTCATACAACACTGAAATTCTAGCATTCGTTCTACTCTCTCAGGCTCTATCTACTGAGGAACTTTGCTTAAGAATCATTGAAAAGTGTGCTTTCTGTATTGTTTAAAGCCATGGTTGGACTTTTTTAAGCACCTCAATCTCTGTTAGCCATTCAATGGATATGTTTAAATTTCTCTGAGTTAAAGCTGACTATAACACTTTCAAAAGTGTTCAGTAAATTGTTAGGCATTAACCAAAATAAATCAAGTCACAGTCACAGACAAAACATACTTGGCTTATACTCTCACAACACTGAAAAATGATTGCTTATTTATAGAGCTACACACAAGTTGCTGCAAATGTTCTCTTACCAAAGGAGCTATGTTTCAGAAAAAGTGTTTGCTTACTCTTAAAAATCATCCTTATTTCTGAAAGATGGTAAATAATATCTTGTTCTGTGCCTTTCCCAACACACAGTCACTTTCTCAAATCGAATTACCCTGCACTGAATACCACAATGGCTAATCTGAAAAGCATTTGACATTACCAGTCAACCTAACAGATTCAAACTGTTGAAAATGTTGTAACGCTAAGGTTGGGTTTTAGCTTGATATGTTCTTTTAAAAAGAGGAGGATTTAGCCCATATGTATGTTCTACAAATAAGTCTAAGACTATGTTCATAAGAAAGCTAAAAATTGAATTCAAATTGGCTAAATATTAAAATTAAGAATTCTGAAATCATCCCTCTCCTAGATAGCACTATGTAAAAATGCAGGTGTTCTGCGGCCTCCTGAGATTGAACCAATACCCAGAATTCCTTTGTAGCGAAATAAGACAAATTAAAAGAGTCTCTCTTTCCCTATTTCTATTTGGCTTTTTTAAAAAATTGCTAATTAAAAAGCTCTGACCAAGGCTTCCTTTAAGTCCCAAACAAAATCCTATCTTCTACAGGAAGCTTTCTCCCACCCCCTTAATTCTAGCACCTTCCCTGTTGATTATTTCATATATATGAAATATGAAATATATATCCTGTATGCATTGTAAAGAGTTTTCTTTGTTTATATGTTTGCATAGTTTCTCCTCTATTGGATTATGAGTTCTTTGAGGACAGGGACGGTGTTCTGCCTCCTTTTGCATCCCCAAGACCTACTAGGTCGTTAATAAATCTTTATTGATTGACTGTGCACAACTCAAATTTACTAATTTCTTATCCATAATTAATTGTGGATATATTTAATTAAATTAATTAAATAATTGCAGGAATTAATTGACACACAATTAAATTAATTTAATTAATTAATTGAAAACAAAATAATTAATTAATTAAAAACAAAGATGATTCTACTGACAATATTATCAGTGTATGAACTAGGAGTTGTTTTCACAAGAGTTATGCTAGCCTCACACATTTTCATTCAGCCTTGCTAAGAGGCACACATTTGGGCTACTCTGACCAGCTTAACCTGACACCAGCAGAAACATTACATCTAAAATAAAAGATGAGAGGTGCAGTTGGGTGGTGCAGTGGATAGAGCTCCCACCTTGGAGTCAGGAGGACTTGAATTCAAATCCAGCCTCAGACACTTGACACTTAACTAGTTGTGTGACCCTTGGCAAGTCACTTAATTCCCATTGCCCCACCAAAAAGTAAAATAAAAGATAACACTCCAGGCTGAGAGCAATAAAATCAGAGTTTATTTTAGCAAGATCACCCACAGAATTGGAATAATAATTCCCTATTTACAGCAATATTCTCTCTTATATAAATGCATATAAATCCAGGCATAATTGTCACCTGTCCAATTTTGATTTCAACGGACTACCACATTCCCAGATGAACAGTTCTTAAGACTTTTCCCTGAGCCCAAAAATTCCTAGTTATGTCTTTAAAGGGGCTAGTAGCTTCCTCAAGTTGTGTCCTGCTTCCTATATCTAGCAAGATCCAATGTGCTAGGGAAGTCGTGTTTAATATCCTATCAGATTTTATCTGATATATACACCAAAAGATGCACTTTAGATGGAAATTATCTGTAGGAAGTCAACATCTTACAGCTTTAACAATGTAAACAAAGCAAATTAAAAAAAAAAACCCAGAATTCTCCAAATCTCAAAGTTGGAGGGGAACACCAGAGATCTAATCCAGCCCTAAGCTTCAGTCCATGGGAAAAAGAAAAGGTGCTTTTTTCCCTGGTTTCATTTTTAAATGTTGAAAGAGTATATTTGGAGTTAGACAATTTCATCCTGCACTGTCATTTTCATGGAATCAATAGGGTATTTAGTCAACAACACACAACACTGAGAAGCCAGCATATTCCATCCACTCCTTCCATTTCATTACTAGTCCCACCTTCTTCACCACTCATTCTCTCATAGCCCCTGGACCTGGAAATCACAGAATTTGGGATCCTTGAGACACACATGGTACTTCATAGCCTTTCCCTCAACACCCTTAGGGGATCACTATTCCCTCTACAAACTGCCCTCCCGTTGGTGAAGGAGCATTCATTCCCCTCACAGCCCTTGAACCCCAGAATCAGAATTTGGGAGTCAGAAGGGACCTCAGGCTCCATCTAGAACAACACATACTGGAAAAGGATCCCCATCATAACTACATGTCCAGCATATTACTGTGCCCGGTATGTTGTAGGTATTCAATAAATGCTTGTTGACTTGACAGCCTCCCCCTTCTTTTACACACACACACACACACACACACTGCCTTTAATTTCCCCCTTCTCTCTACACTGGCCCTGCAAAGCCTAATGATGCCTCCTAGTGACTTCCCCTCAGAGGGCCCTGTAATTTAATTCACACTCACAATCACACGCACAAAGTGCTATGATTTTCACCCCTTCTTACACACACTATAGGAAGGCTTTCCTGATCCCCCTTAATTTCGGTGCCTTCCCTCTCCTGATTACCCCTAGTCATCCCGTATATAGGACCGGGGCCCACAGTGGTTTTCAGGTCGTCTCCCATCTCCAGGGCAGGGGCCCTCTTTGGCCTCTTTTTGCATCCCCCAGCTCTTAGCATATGGCACAAAGTAGGCGTTTAATAAACGCTGACTGACACAGAGCCTTACCAAGTTTCCCCCTCCCCCTCCCCTGCACACACACACACACACACGTACATATTCGCCTCTCCCTTGCACACTCACTCCTCCCCTACAAACACATATACAAACTCTCTCTCCCCCTACCCTGCATACACTCCCCCTCCCTTGAACACTCACTACCTCTCTTGCGCACACATACGCCCCCCCCTCTTGCAAACATACAGACTCACCCTTCTCTTGCGCACACACACTCGCTCTCTTGCACACACACACTGCCTCTCCCTCCCTTGCACACATCCCCCCCTGCCCCTATACACACACCCCCTCTCCTGCACACAGGCCTCCCCCTCCCCCGCCCCCGGCCCGCTCACCCTCCCGGCAGCGCCTCCTCCAGATGGTGTCCGTGTTGAGGATGCGCCGGAACTTGGTGCAGACCTGGGCCAGGCTGGGCAGGTCGGTGCCGGGCAGGGAGGCGAAGATCTCCACCAGGAGCTCGGGAGGCAACTCGAGGAGCGAGCAGCGCGCCGGGGCCGCCGGGGGCTGCGGGGGCTGCGGGCAGGCCGAGGCCGAGGCCGGGCCCCCAGCGCCCCCCGCGCCCCCCGGCGCCAGGCTCGCCCCCGGGGTCCCCCGGGCCCCCGGCGCCCCCGTGCCCCGCGGCCCCGCAGGCCCCCGACGGCTTCGGCATGGCCGGGGCGCCCTCGATCCTCTCCTCCTCAGGGTCAGTGTCGGGCTCGCTCTCGGCCGCCGCCCCCGCCGCCTCAGCCGGGCCCTTGCGCTGCTGCCGCCTCCGGCCGCCCCGGGACTGACCCCCCCCACAGAGCCGGGCACACACCGCCATCCCGGCTCCTGTGTGACAGGGGACCCGCGCCCGCGCCCCCGCCCCCGCCGCTGCCTCCGCGCACGCGCGCGCCTGCGGCCCCGCACCGCGCAGCCGCCCCTGCCACCCCCGCCGGGGCGGAGTCGGCCCCAGCCTCGGCCAATGCCGCCACACGCCCGAGCGGGCACGCGCTCGCACTCCCGCCTCCCCGGCCTTGGCCCCGCCCCCGAGCCCTCTGCCCCTCCTCCCAAAGAGGCGAGGCCCCGCCCCTCTCTTTCCCAGTGTGACGAGACAGCGGGCACGCCTGTCCCCCGAAGCCACGCCTCGGTCCTCTCCAATCGCCCGGAGTCCAAAACTGGCTCTTTAAAGGCACTCCCCGCCCCAGGGGTCACGGTGCCGCGGCTCCCGGAGTACTGCGCTTGCGCTGAGTGAAGCTGGATGAGCCAAGCTTTCTACCCGCAGCAGCGGCACGAACAGCAGCTGCCCCCCCTCCCTGTTGAGAAGGGGACCCTAGAGCTCCCATGCACCATAGGACGTCAACAAGCATTTATTAAGCGCCTACCGTGTGCCAGGTGCAGGGCATGCAAGTACAATGAATGAAACAACCCCTGCTGCAGGGAACTGAGGCATATATTACGCACCTACTGTGTGCCATTTACTGAGTGTACAAGCACCATGAATGAAAGGAGCTGAAGCATATGTTAAGCACCTACTGCGTGCCAGGCTTGGGGCGTCCAAGTACAATGAATGGAACAAAAATCCCTGCTCCCAAGGAGCTGACATTATAATGAGGGGGACAAACAAAGGCGGATAAAAGAACACCCGGCATAAGTACAAAGTCAGAGCTGGCGCCCGTGGATTTATGCGGACGACTGTACTGTACATACAGGATGCGTTTCCTTTGCAGCCCAATGCATTTAAAATATAATCCTGAGACTTCTTTGAGCTCCTTGACAGTCTTCCTTTGTCTCCCCATTGCACTTAGTAGGTGCTTAATTGTTGACTCGACTTGTAAAGGGGGGAGAGGGAGATTTCGCACACGCACGGACAAAGGGATCCGAGATACAAAAGCAGTTCAGAATCACCATCACCACCACCCCTCCATTACCCATATGGGGAAACAGGCCCAGAGGCAAGAAGTGACAGCTCCCTGCTGCCCTCACAGCCGCCCCCAAGGGCTTGCAATGCAGGACTCTGTCTGCTTTAGCTATTCTGCACCTTGGCCAGCCTATCTTGTTACATTGTAGCAGCTGGCTCCCCTCCCCGCACCGAGCCAGACCTGGGCAGTGAAATTCCCACTTAGGGAAGGCGAGGAGGCGGGGGAGGGGACAGGGCGTTCTCTCTTTCCTTAACCCTAAAGGCGCCGGGTTATGCTACAATGATAACCCACAGAGAAAACAAGAAATCACTTTCCGAACTCAAGCCTCGCTCTTTTCAGCTCAAGCAGCATCCTCCCTTAACCTCCCTTAAAGATTGGTTCTAAAATTATCCAAGAAGTTAAAAAACTAAAAGTTAACTGCGGATGCCCCGTGTGAGGATCGAACTCACGACCTTCAGATTATGAGACTGACGCGCTACCTACTGCGCTAACGAGGCTCCTTAGCAACCGGCTCCGTGAAAGGGCTTTTGAATAAATTTATGAGCCCGGCAGCTAGATTTCTTTTATTCCTTTTTTTTCTTCTTGCACAACTTCAAATAAATATGTTCCCAATTTTTTAAGAAAAGGCTGGATTCGAACTTTTAAAATCAATTAAAACCTCCCAGGCGTTAAAAATGCACTCTTTGAATTAAAATATCAGTGTCATTAGTCTCCAAAGCAATAAAACTAAAAAGGAAAAGAAATCAGGTTCCAATTTGCCATCACCTTCTGGGTGGGTACCCGGCTCCATAGCAGAAATCCATTAATAATTTTATAGCTATTAATTATTATAAAATCTATGTAGAATGCTGGTAGTATACTTCCTGCAGGATGCAAGTGCTCATTAAATGCCGTTTTAACTCAGTAACTAGCTGTGTTAGCTGCAGACTGTTCTTTCACCTTTAAAAAAAATAAATTCGTGGACACACTTCCCTTCTTTTAAGAGCCGATGTAACGCCGCCATCAATTAAGTCTTCTGCTGCTGATGCCCACGGGTTGCAGGGCTCGCTCTAGATACGTCTCAGGTAACAAAATTTTTTGAATGATCCTTTGGATTTGAAGAAAGATGATAAACATTTCCTCTTCCTTAATACATTGTATCCTATTTTCAACCTAGGTATGGTTTACATGATCCATTTTCCAATTCATGCAAATTAATTTTTATTTTTTATTTTGAATAACGTTTTCTATATATAATATATAATTTTATATACTATATATAATTTTATATATTTTATTTTTTCCAATTACACATAAAACCAATTTTTGGCATTTTTTTTATTTTGAGTTCCAAATTCTCTCCCTCCTTCCCTCCCTTCCCCCTCCCTGAGACAGTAAGCAATTTGATATAGGTTAGATACGTACAATTATATGAAATTTATTTCCATTAAATTAATTTTTAAAAAACTTAAGGTCAAATAATGAGGGAATTGGAGATGATTTCTAAAAATCTCTTAAGCTCTCACAGGCTACCCTTCCAAGATTCTAAATCTAGTTTTTCTAAAACTACCAATTTTCACAGATATTCTAACAGAATTATGTCTACCAAGAAAGTAAACACATTCTGCCTCACCCTAACAGCAGCAGCATGCAAATAGCTCCAGCTTTTCAAAATTAGAAAGGATAGTTAAAAATCAGTACTACCTGCTAGGAAACCATTTTATTTTGCTTTTCTCATATTTTGATATTTCCTTCCTAGCATGTGAGTTAGACTGTTAAATAAACCAGTCTAGCTGGTTTTTGCAGCCATCTGAGGAATGCACTTTGATTAGCCTTTGTCCAGCTATGAAACATAAATAAATATAAAGCAGATTTTATAATGATCTATGTTTACCCCCAATGGAACTCTTACAGATACCTTATCAGGCTTTGATTAAATGACACTATGCACAAATAAATATGTGTATGTGTTTGTGTGTGTGAATATATGTGTGCATATACACACATAAAACACATACATACATACATATCTACAGAAATATATGTGTATACATCTGTGCATACATATGTGCATGTATTGTATGTATGTATATACATAAGTGTATATATAAACATTGTATTACGGTGTTGTATATATATGCACATAGAAATGTATGTACACCCATAAAATGATACCTCACA